AGTGGTTCAAATATAAGCCTGTTGAGACTAAAATTGCATGCATGTTTTTCACTAAAAAGTGAAAAATCTTTGTATCAGACCATACTGTTTGCAAAAAAAGTTGAATTCAAGAGTCTTTTTGTGCTCAGATTTATTGTATCATGTCACCTGAGTATAGAAATGATAGAAAAGACACAAAATTTTATTTCATATAGCTTCAATATGCATTTTTAAATGTAAATATGTGATACGGCCTAAATTGACCCTAAATTATTTTCAGTCTTACTTGGCCTAAGACCCTTTTAAACTAATGTGATATGTTATTTGTAAGTTTTCTTTCCATTTAAAGTACATTAAATACATATATAAGGATTATTTATAACCAAAAAGCTTTACAAATTTAAAATTGCTGGAAAATATTACATCTTCCTGTAAGGCCCCCCTTCATTGGAAAACCTCCATTTTTAGCCACAGGCTCATATAAATTTGACTTTTTAATAATTATGATAAGTCTGATAAATCAAATGAGTACTCTATTGCTTTTAATACATAATATATTATATATTAAGGCATTTCAAAAGTATTTTTTTGCAATATTTAAATTTTTTAAGCCCCAAATGTTGATAGTTGAAAATTTTCAATTTTAACATCTAAATTTAACACTCAAAGTTGAATATAGAATTAGTCATATTGTCTATAATATATATCCTATTGCCATGAAACTTTGTAAGCAGTCTTATAATTTAATATGCTTTGGTCATACCAAGTTTCATTAAGATTGGTCAACTTTTTCTACCCTATTAGGTCCGGGTACACAGTTATCGTCCTTTGATTTTCGTTGTCCACGAATATAGTCCCTAGTGTGGACAGTGTGTTACTTGTCGATTTTTTTGATACCCCTTCCGAATTTATTTCTCTATGTTTTATGACTCAAATAGTAAGTAGGGGGGTGAAATGACACTGTAAAAAAATTTGGGTCATGAATTTTAAAGTAAAGTAGTGATTTGGTCCAGCTGAAAAATGTTAAAAATTAGCACTTCGGAGGCTGTCAAAAGATTTGAAGACCCCCTCAGCATGAAATTGTCCATATTTTGAGTTAGAGCCGATGAAGTTTTCTATAATTTTGATATAATTTGTCCCAAAAGTAGTACAACACACTGTAAAAATATTATTGAGAAAGCGCAGGTGGGATTTTTTTAATTTTCATTTATTGTCTAAAAGAAATGCACTACGAAATAACTGTGTACTCGGACCTAAGAGGTGAAATCAGGAAATATAGAATCTGTACTTTGGCAACTTCCCTGAATGATTTGATGGTGTCAATTTATCAAATAGCATAAAACTAAAGGATTAAAACTTTTATTTGATAGAATTTCTGCAAAAATGACCAATTTTGGCATTTTATGGTCAAAATAAGCATTTCATAGCTTTTTCAATTTTGATGCATAAGTGGCATTCTGACTTTCTATCTGACAGGTTTTTATGTGTCAATATTTGTGTTTCTATGCTTCAATCCAGTTGTATTACTCATTTGTGAACTCTGAATCTACAGAAAAGAAGATTATCTCAGACAATATGTTCAAAATGTGTTGTATATATGGTCCTCGTCTAACGCCCTGTTTGGATCGAGTTAAATGTGAGGAGCTTGGAACATAAAAGTTGAAGTCCATTATAAAGACCTCACTAAACTTGTATAAAAAGCACTTAACAATGTCTTTTGTACCTGTTTTATGTCACATAATATCTTTTTTTTCTTCTGTAGGATAGCAAGTGGTTCAAATATAAGCCTGTTGAGACTAAAATTGCATGCATGTTTTTCACTAAAAAGTGAAAAATCTTTGTATCAGACCATACTGTTTGCAAAAAAAGTTGAATTCAAGAGTCTTTTTGTGCTCAGATTTATTGTATCATGTCACCTGAGTATAGAAATGATAGAAAAGACACAAAATTTTATTTCATATAGCTTCAATATGCATTTTTAAATGTAAATATGTGATACGGCCTAAATTGACCCTAAATTATTTTCAGTCTTACTTGGCCTAAGACCCTTTTAAACTAATGTGATATGTTATTTGTAAGTTTTCTTTCCATTTAAAGTACATTAAATACATATATAAGGATTATTTATAACCAAAAAGCTTTACAAATTTAAAATTGCTGGAAAATATTACATCTTCCTGTAAGGCCCCCCTTCATTGGAAAACCTCCATTTTTAGCCACAGGCTCATATAAATTTGACTTTTTAATAATTATGATAAGTCTGATAAATCAAATGAGTACTCTATTGCTTTTAATACATAATATATTATATATTAAGGCATTTCAAAAGTATTTTTTTGCAATATTTAAATTTTTTAAGCCCCAAATGTTGATAGTTGAAAATTTTCAATTTTAACATCTAAATTTAACACTCAAAGTTGAATATAGAATTAGTCATATTGTCTATAATATATATCCTATTGCCATGAAACTTTGTAAGCAGTCTTATAATTTAATATGCTTTGGTCATACCAAGTTTCATTAAGATTGGTCAACTTTTTCTACCCTATTAGGTCCGGGTACACAGTTATCGTCCTTTGATTTTCGTTGTCCACGAATATAGTCCCTAGTGTGGACAGTGTGTTACTTGTCGATTTTTTTGATACCCCTTCCGAATTTATTTCTCTATGTTTTATGACTCAAATAGTAAGTAGGGGGGTGAAATGACACTGTAAAAAAATTTGGGTCATGAATTTTAAAGTAAAGTAGTGATTTGGTCCAGCTGAAAAATGTTAAAAATTAGCACTTCGGAGGCTGTCAAAAGATTTGAAGACCCCCTCAGCATGAAATTGTCCATATTTTGAGTTAGAGCCGATGAAGTTTTCTATAATTTTGATATAATTTGTCCCAAAAGTAGTACAACACACTGTAAAAATATTATTGAGAAAGCGCAGGTGGGATTTTTTTAATTTTCATTTATTGTCTAAAAGAAATGCACTACGAAATAACTGTGTACTCGGACCTAAGAGGTGAAATCAGGAAATATAGAATCTGTACTTTGGCAACTTCCCTGAATGATTTGATGGTGTCAATTTATCAAATAGCATAAAACTAAAGGATTAAAACTTTTATTTGATAGAATTTCTGCAAAAATGACCAATTTTGGCATTTTATGGTCAAAATAAGCATTTCATAGCTTTTTCAATTTTGATGCATAAGTGGCATTCTGACTTTCTATCTGACAGGTTTTTATGTGTCAATATTTGTGTTTCTATGCTTCAATCCAGTTGTATTACTCATTTGTGAACTCTGAATCTACAGAAAAGAAGATTATCTCAGACAATATGTTCAAAATGTGTTGTATATATGGTCCTCGTCTAACGCCCTGTTTGGATCGAGTTAAATGTGAGGAGCTTGGAACATAAAAGTTGAAGTCCATTATAAAGACCTCACTAAACTTGTATAAAAAGCACTTAACAATGTCTTTTGTACCTGTTTTATGTCACATAATATCTTTTTTTTCTTCTGTAGGATAGCAAGTGGTTCAAATATAAGCCTGTTGAGACTAAAATTGCATGCATGTTTTTCACTAAAAAGTGAAAAATCTTTGTATCAGACCATACTGTTTGCAAAAAAAGTTGAATTCAAGAGTCTTTTTGTGCTCAGATTTATTGTATCATGTCACCTGAGTATAGAAATGATAGAAAAGACACAAAATTTTATTTCATATAGCTTCAATATGCATTTTTAAATGTAAATATGTGATACGGCCTAAATTGACCCTAAATTATTTTCAGTCTTACTTGGCCTAAGACCCTTTTAAACTAATGTGATATGTTATTTGTAAGTTTTCTTTCCATTTAAAGTACATTAAATACATATATAAGGATTATTTATAACCAAAAAGCTTTACAAATTTAAAATTGCTGGAAAATATTACATCTTCCTGTAAGGCCCCCCTTCATTGGAAAACCTCCATTTTTAGCCACAGGCTCATATAAATTTGACTTTTTAATAATTATGATAAGTCTGATAAATCAAATGAGTACTCTATTGCTTTTAATACATAATATATTATATATTAAGGCATTTCAAAAGTATTTTTTTGCAATATTTAAATTTTTTAAGCCCCAAATGTTGATAGTTGAAAATTTTCAATTTTAACATCTAAATTTAACACTCAAAGTTGAATATAGAATTAGTCATATTGTCTATAATATATATCCTATTGCCATGAAACTTTGTAAGCAGTCTTATAATTTAATATGCTTTGGTCATACCAAGTTTCATTAAGATTGGTCAACTTTTTCTACCCTATTAGGTCCGGGTACACAGTTATCGTCCTTTGATTTTCGTTGTCCACGAATATAGTCCCTAGTGTGGACAGTGTGTTACTTGTCGATTTTTTTGATACCCCTTCCGAATTTATTTCTCCATGTTTTATGACTCAAATAGTAAGTAGGGGGGTGAAATGACACTGTAAAAAAATTTGGGTCATGAATTTTAAAGTAAAGTAGTGATTTGGTCCAGCTAAAAAATGTTAAAAATTAGCACTTCGGAGGCTGTCAAAAGATTTGAAGACCCCCTCAGCATGAAATTGTCCATATTTTGAGTTAGAGCCGATGAAGTTTTCTATAATTTTGATATAATTTGTCCCAAAAGTAGTACAACACACTGTAAAAATATTATTGAGAAAGCGCAGGTGGGATTTTTTTAATTTTCATTTATTGTCTAAAAGAAATGCACTACGAAATAACTGTGTACTCGGACCTACTGGGCTAAATTGTTTAGTATAATCCATGTTTTTTTCAAAACTCTTCATCTCTGAGATTTTCATAATTCCACTGCATAGCAGTACACAGAACCCCTAAGTTGAATTATCAGGTAGACAAAATATCTTCAAATTAATTTTCAAAGATAATAATTATTATGTTTGGTAAATTGTTTTTTTCCACAAATAATGTCAATGTTTTCTGATGTTCACAAATGTTTACAGATATAAACAATAAGGCTGATAAGTTCATTTATTTCATACATTTCAGATCCAATGCAAAACATCCCACCGCTGCAGTTTAATTATACCTCATCATAGTGAAGAATTGTATGCTAAAATTCCGCGTTGTTGGAATTTGTTGACAAAAAATTATTATTGTGTGTTTTAAATGAAACAACTGACTATAAACGATTAAAATGCTTGTAGAGATATGATGTAAACATCACAGTATCTTACATCTGTGTTTTAAAACCTTGAAATTGATTTTTTCCCATTTCAGTTTATTTTTTTCGATGTACGTGATCATTCTGTGCTTACATTTTTGAAAATTAAGCATAAGGAATCTATATTCATTTGGTACCTTAAACGCTTTAAAACTTTCTCGATCGTTAAAAATTATTATCTGTGTACATGTATACCATATTTTCTTGTTATATGCACACTATACAGATGAACCTCTTTTGCTAAATAAACATGTGACAAGGCTTGTGTCTTTTATATTAATCTAATATTCAATGATATAAGTAGAAAAAAAAACCTGTATAAATCATTGATGGATTCTATAGTTTTGTTTTGAATAAAACAACTGTTGGAAATAGAGGACATTGAACTCATATGAATGTCTATATCAATAACCATCTTTGATAAGAAAAGATCAAATGTAGCATTTGTTCTGACAATTACTAATCACCGTACAGCCTTCCAAAACCAGTACAGTCCTTTTTGCATAGTAAGCAATAAAAGGCGTTGTGATGTCAAAGTGTGAAAAAACTTCTCAAAGATATAATGCATATATTGAGTTTGCATTAGGTTTTGGATTTTTCAAATATTTTTGCCCGAGCATCACTGATAAGACATTGATTGTCAAAACGTAGTGTTTCCCCTATCACACAAAAAGGGCATGGTAACTTTAATGAAAAAGGGAACCTACAGCACGCAAAAGATTAACAAAAGGGCACATAGATTATGCTAAGAATTAAAGAAAGGGCAATGCATGGTTATATTGCATTGGTAAAGTATGGACTGACAGTTGTTGATGGAATCAGAGCTCAAGATAGCAATCAATAAAAGTGTAATGTTTTAAGATATTTCAAGTTTTTAAATTTCCCAACTGTATTTGTATTAAAAAGGTCCCTGTAAATATGCCATGCATGACACTTTTATTGTTTATTTATATGTGCTGTACATATGTTGGATAATTTTTTTTTCTTAAAATTTTAAAGTTAAGGTAAAACTCCATATGGAGGTGCTCCTAATTTAAGGAGGCTTATTCTAAGAAAAATAAGTTTACTTCCGGTTTACTGGTTAACTATTTTTGAATGCATTACAAGGAAATTAGTTGAAGGACCAGTTTAAAATCTATTCACAAAATGGCGTCTTGTCAAAATCGATTCAAAGAATTTAGTATTTCCATCGATTTTGTTTATTAAACAGAGTAAAACGATGTCGATCTATAATAAGCAGGTGAAATTGATAATCGGCGGTACTGAGAAATGCTTACACACTTTTTGTTCAAATAAGTACGATAATTTTTACTGTTCATATTTTTGAAAGATTTGAATCACCATATGAATCGATCTTTTAATCGTTCAATCCCTATTGAGGAGAATTATGATATCGAAATAAATATCATCAAGTGAAAATAATAAACAAGAAATAAGTAGAGAAACACACCCAAGCCAATTTTGGACTTTATACATCCAATTTCTTGTATTCAATCATTTACGAGACCATGGCGTTATCCAAAGAAGTGAAAAGGGGGCATGGCGTCATTTATTATGACATAAAAAGGGCATAGCGTCATTTAAAAAGGGCATGGCGTCTATTCATGCTAAAGATGCCTGGGAGAAACACTAAAAACTTGAACCATTATTGTTATTTTAACTGGAAATCTTCCATTGTTCAGTAGCAGTCTAAAGTTATAATAAAAAAAAAAAGACAAACCAAAAGCTACTAGTCCAACAAAATAGACATATACATGATATATCGACAGTGAATAAAGTGGACATTACATAACTTAAGTGAAACTTAGATACGGTTGCGCACATTGATCTTAAAACTTGCCGATGTCATTTATATAGCGTTCTCAGTTAGGTTATTTCAAGCGTATATTAAAACACTGATGCATTAAAAGACGCTCTGGATTTAGATTTACCGTGTCTGTAATATTGGAAAAGTCTTAAAAAACCACACTGTCTTGTGGAGTTTAATCTCTCCATTAATCCATTTGCACGTGTTTGCAATGACGTCTCGGATTTCAAAGAACGTAAAGGGACTCGGTGGCCAAGTGGTCTAAGAACTTCTTCTAAAATTATCACTAGACTGTCAACGATGAGGTTGTGAGTTTGAACCCTATCACTGTTAGACTTCTATTCAATTGCTTAGGAATGCCATTTTTTTGCTAAAGTTCAGTGGTTTTCTCCGGACTCTCCGGCTTTGTCCACGAATGAAAAAGAAATACTCCAAACGGAACGAGTCGTGTTTCGACAACAGGGCAAGCGTTTTCTTGCTATACATGCATCACCCGCAATGTGATTTGGCATTCATTCGAAAGTAACAATAGGGAAAAGGACACAATCGGTATATTTGCAGTGGGTGTGTTACTGCTGATTGATGGGAAGTTTACAATTGGAAAGTTGAAAGCTTCACGTTTGTCATAGATAACAGCTAATATCGAGGTTAATATCGAGGAAAGATCAAGAAATAAAGCATACCTTATGGTTTCGGTAGTATCTTTAATCTCAACTTCAATGGGATATATGAGATGCAAGCACTCACTGAAATGACCATCATCAATATATCAAAAGGTGAAATGCATGGACTGTGCAATATGCTTTTTTATGTTTGTCTTCGAGAAAGCTCTGTATGAATTATGCTTCCTACTTTAAACTTTTGTGACATCAGACGAGCTATGAAGATATCGTTTAAGCATATTTCTACAAGAAATATATAGGAAAATTGTATTTTTGATTGACTGAAACACAAGCTATGACATGATATTGAACGTTATTAGCCATGTTTTTCATACACATATATTTCAAAAAGGTTCTGTATGAACATGATGAATTATACTTCTTATTTTAAGCTTTTGTGACATCAGATGGGCGATGGAGATATCGCTTAAGCATATTTTCACAAGAAAAATATACAGGAAAATTGTATTTTTGATTGACTGAAACACAAGCTATGACATGATATTGAATGTTTTTAGCCATGTTTTCTTTCATATATATATATTTGTGCTGTATTTAGACCCCTCTTACAAGAAATTTGTTTTGCATGCACACGTATAAAAATTGCGGTTTTTATCCAACGCAATCATAGGTTTGAACGTTGTTTTCAATTTAGACTTGTATATATATATATCTTAGAAATACTTTTAAAAAAAATGTTCTTTAAGAATTGTTTTGAAACAAATTCCGTAGCGAAAGTATTTAATTTACCGTGTTACTTACAGTTTGATCTAAAACAAACCTGGATATAGATTTCACCCTTGGTACCAAAAACAACTGACCATATAAGAGATGTGACCGTTGAATTAAGGTTTAAAATCATTTGATATATAACAGTATAACACAGAGAACACTATAAGACTAATGGTGAACATTCAAGACAGCGTTTGAATTAAACAGAGGACTTTTAAAGCAAGTTTAACTATAATTCTACATTTACTTAGGTTTCAACTCTATCAGGCAAAGTGAACCTTGGATGGATTTTGCTATTATCTTTATGTCCTTTTGATCATATAGCTCTTAAAATATTTCGGTCCTTATACATTCTTCGCTTTCTAAAGTTCTATTTTTAGCGTTCCGGATGAAGATCAATCAAGAAAAGGGCTTTGCACGCATGAAATTTGTAAAATATTGTTTTCATTGTTTTTTTTTACTTGTTTTCATCTTAGGAGACTTTACGGTCTTAAATGATTGTCTTTAATGTGACCAGTTTCCGCTCTCCATAATCTTTTAGAGAAAATAAAAAAAATAACAGAAAGAGGATCAGTCTTCTTTCTAAAACATTTGTTTTGGTTTTTCTTTCATTCTTTACAACTGTACAACAAAAGGAATAGAAAAGAAAATATCAGTCATTTTTTCCTTTATTTATCTTAATCCATAAGCTTCAAGGTCTTTTTAAACACATGTTTTCTGGACTCGTGTTAATTTTTGTAGATATTATGATATTATTGGCGCGACAGGAACAGCCGTTTACTCCATCCAGACAAGGAAAATTTTCATTAATTTGATAGATAGCTCCTCCGTAACTGCAAGTACCTATTCAATATAATGCATATACTAGTATATTTGAAATTAATAAATACAAAAAAATAATGTGCTTTAGTTTCCTAGTGTATCTGAAATCCTCCCAATTTAGGCACACTTCATTATTTGGGGTAAAAGTTAATATGTAATAACCGCAATAGTCACTGAAATGCACAGCTAGTATATTTGCAGTTATCATACATTTATAGAGTCATCGGTTTTTCCTCTGCTGATTGTTTTTGTCTATATAAATATAAATATGCATTTTCTTCAATACCTATTGATTTAGAAGAAGAAGGGAAGTGTGAGATAAACACCATTAGTTTAATCCTGTCAAATTGTTCTTAGTCTATCCGATTGCATGAACCTCACCAGTGGTTGTCTTTTTTTTCATATCTTAATTATTTCATCGTTATTTGAAGATTTTAATGTTGATTATTAATCTCAGATAATCTTTGTTAAAAATTTTGGAAACAACTATCGACTCGTAGAGTTTTGAACTGTTGCATAGACACCTATTGCTCTGTCAATTGTTGAAGACTTAATTTTGCCCTATCAATCTTATTTTGTTATTTGAATTGTTGAGTTGCTTTTCGTATACAATTTTCTAACATCTTTTGTTTTATCATATATAATTATCATAGGTACGATACTGACCGGTAGTATGACCAATCTTGATAAGAACTATGTTTTATCTTACCTTTACAATATGGGCATACTCCATTGTTAGGAACTACAGGTCTCATGCATTCTGTGATAGGACACTTAAATTCTTTACAGTACACATATCTTCCTTCCGTTATGCAAAATCTGTCTCCATTCGTAAGCCTAGGTTTGATTTCCCCAACTGCATACTTTATACAATTTCCATATGGGTGTCTTCCTTAATAGATACAATAAATAAAATCATTTATATAAATGCAATTATTTCTTATCAAATATACTAAAAACTTATAAAACGCACATACACATAATCTACGTCGTTTAGTATTTGGATAGTTGTCCCATTGGAAATCACACCTCTTCTCCTTATAATGTATTCAGGTATCGAAACATGTACATCCTAGTTATAAGCTGTCAAATGAATGGCTTTAAGGTAAATCTGGAAAACCGTTTCGGACGCACAAAAGTAATAAAGTGTTATTTTCAGTTTTGCAGTTACTTTTACTATTTCGTATTGAAAATATTAGTAATAATAATATATCATAAATTGTTAAAATATCTCTTAATTATCCTTTCCCAGCTACACATACACAACTTTATTGGCATTGTTCCTTTATAATAAACATACTTTCCGTTTTTCTCGTAAGTAAAAGTGCAACCGTAGAACATTGGATAGCATAGGATGCAAGTCAACTCGAAGCATTTCGGTGACTTAAAAAAATTCCCATGACCAACTTTCAGCACTGATCAGAACTGCAGTTACTGGGCATATGCATGTTCAGTAAACAATACTTTAATCGATAGAATCATAAAGGAGGAACTTTGATAAGGGCCATTTTGTTTTCATGGTTGGTCCAATGTCTGTCATCATCCGCAACTTAATCTATAAGTATTTAAAAGATGGGTTCCGCTTACGGAATCTCAACCGTTTGACAGACACACTTCGTAGGGAAGTGTTTTTGACAATGTCTAGGCCACCAGTTATAACGTCATCGAATTACAAATGAATGAGAAATTGCATCATTGCAATCAGTTGATTAAGATATAAATCAAAGATAATTGGTTCAAGGATGGCCTATGATACTTTTCATATCTTAACTCTTATAATAAAGTTTTATTAATACTCTTATTATAAGGTTTTTATTAATGTGGTGTCTGAAAGTTGGAAAGTTTCCATTTAAAGTTTTTCAAACTATTTTAATACAAAAAATGTAGAAAGTGCATTGTTTAACATCGCTTTGAAGCTTTTTTTCCGGGACCTTGCAAGTAAGGAATATGTAAAAGATTTGATACAGTAAATTTCAAAGAGGTACATATTAACATGATTATGTGGTTTTGTTTTTATCAAATTTTGATTTCATAGTTTTTCAGAAAAAAGAATATATTTTTTTTTCACTCAACATGCACATATTTTGATAATAAAATATTAACACCCTTTTTCGACTGTAAGAATACTTTTACAAAGATTCCAGTAATACATTGTTTTATATACTTTTGCTTGAAGTTAGGAATATAAGTTGCTACTTTTGGTATGAAAAATGTCACTTCTTGCTTTATATGATAGGTTTCTTGACACTGATTCCAACAATATATGATTCTAGTAGTTTTTACATGAAAATGAGACAAACAAGGCTTCTTTCGGATTACAAATGGTTACTTCTGGTTGTCCTTTTTCAAGATCAAATGTCTGCAACCTTATTCAAAAGACCCTTTGAATTGATCGTGTACCAATAAGAAGTTACAGTAAAGGTAGAAATTAAGTATGTCAAATTAAGCTTTGACGTTGAACTCAATTTGAAGGCCATTAATCAAGGACCACAAATAAATAGACCCTTGGTCTTTACTATATATTGTAAATGAGTTATATCACCATACAGCTTATTCTAAATATCAGTGGGTAGAAAACTATCATGTAATGTCAACGTACCCTTTTATCTAAAATCTATGACCTGTGACCTTGACCTCGTTTTCTTTTTGGTGGACCAATTGCCTCATATCAAAAGACCCTTGGTCTCTCACTTATGGTTTTCCAGTCACAAATAAATTGGACATAAATAATTTCACAAGGGGAAATAACTCTTATACGGAGTCTCTGGATCGATACGGTCAAAATGTTTTTGAACATGCCGATGATGTGACGATTAATTTGGAAAACAATGACGCTTTCTTATATGCTTGCAAAGGAATAGCAATATCAAGCAAATCTAAAAATCTCTTACAAAGATAATTGGTCGGTAAAGCAGGGTTTAAAAGCAGATACACTGTACACTATCACAAACCAAATATTTAAGCGACATGTTGCGAAACAAAAATTACGCGCAAGAATACAATTTGGCCGAAGAAAAAAAAAGAGGTGAGATGAGTCAGAACAAAATCAGAGGTCTTTCCACGGAAAATAAAAAGACCTAAATAACCTTAATCTTTCACCCTGAAGACATTATTTGTACAGTATTTGTTGCTGTGAAAATCAAAAGTAGTTCCAGGACACAAAACAAGCTATTGGTAACGCCAAAGACTACTAAAAGTGTCAAATGCTTCCGTGCATTTATACCTCTTGGTGTTAAATCTCTAGGCTCTATGATATATACTCAGTATAGTATTTAATAAAGTCGTAAGTTAAGTGTGTGCATTAAAACCCTCAACTTTTTTTTAAAGGTCACTCGCCAATTGAGATTAGTTTACGTTGATTATAGAATATAGTGACTGTCTTATTCATGTAATATCGTTATAAAAAAATAAGAAGATGTCATATGATCGCCAATGACACAACTCTCCAACAGAGACCAAACGACATGGAAGTTAACAACCCTTGGTCACCGTACGGCCTTGAACAATGAACAAACCCAATAGTATAGTAAGCTATAAAATCCCCGAAATTACAAATGAAAAACAATCCAAATGGGAAAACTAACGGCATGATTTATGTACAAAACAATAAACGATAACAAATATGATAAAAAGCATCAAACGACAACCACAGAATTACAGGATCCTGACTAGGGACAGACACATACAGATCTTGGCGGGGTTAAGGTAGCACTCCACAGTTAGTAGTTCAATTTTGCATTTTGGCCCCGGTAGATTTTTCAAATATGAAAGCTTGTGTATATTATAATTCATTTTGGGATAGCTGAAGATTAAATATAGCCTTCAAAGTGGGTTTATTTGAACACGAAGATTATGTAATGTATGTTATATTGTTTTCCGTATCCCAGTTCGTATTTTTATATCTATACCAGACATTGGTCCAGAAATTATTGTAATGTTTTTCCACCTGTTGTCGTACGAACTTTTTGAATCAATTTTACGAAAAAGACACCCAATTTTTATTTGATAATTTGAAAGATTAATGTCAGTAGTTTCAGAAAAGGTATCACCTTAAGGGATTGAAATTCTAGTTTGAACCAAACTTTGGAGGAATATGTGACATTTCCAAGCCCTTTTAACATCTCTTTATGATAAATAAATGCAGAATGTTGCCATGGATACACAGGGAAGGAATTTTATATTTCATCATTTTAACTGTTGAAAATCAAATCTCTGGAAGATACTGATTACATACATAAAAAAACAAATTGAATGTTGAATGTTGAATGTTGAATAATGAACCAACTTAACATCCGTTATGCCCATGTTTGACACAAAAATTGCTTAATGTATTAGGAAGCCGGGAATAGAAAATCAATTAACATTTTTGTCAACTGTGGAGTGCTGCATCAGCATATTTGCTGGCGCCAAACTCTTCCCATAACCTGGGAAAGTGGCGGTAAGGTACAATATCAGAGAAAAAATCTATAAAAATCAGTTGAAAGAGCTTCACTCATCAGATCGGTATAAATGACTTAAAATCCTAACAAAAACACTAAAGACACAAAGTACAGATCTGAGAGAACTCGCAGTTACTGAAAGCTAGTTCAAAGCTAATAATAACTAATAAAAAATCATTTGTTAAAGGCTTAGTTATAAGAACATTACACATCCAACATCCAATAGATTTAGTTTAAAGACGTCATTAATAGTCAGAGAAAAATATTACCTGGTGACATGCAAAAATTTAGGTGTAGAACCATTAATGTAGATATGTGTATAACAATACTGTTTAGAATGGTTTTAATTTACTGACAACATAATCAATATTATACCGACAAAAACAATACTTTTATACGCAGTAAGGTGTTCAGAATGTCTTTTTATGTCTTTTCCAATTTCCAAATCATAACGCGACTCTTTCCGAAGATAGAAAGTAATTACTAGTAGTAACATGTTAAAGGTTTGAACGTTCAATTTTTTTTATTTCGATGCCCTCAACATGCTCAAGCATTTTGAAAAGGTAAATTCTTCTAATATTTTTCTCAAATAGGAAACGTAATTACTATTAATCAAATACCACAACTTGGACGTATATCACAACAATGACTTTGTGATGAAGAATAGCAATAAAAGCGCTGTTCCTTTGCTTTTTGTATGTTTTTTGTTGTGCATTTACTGATTTTGTGTCATGAATGGATACCTCATATCCTTTGTTTTTCTATTATGTATTTTATAAAGTATCAACTATTATCTCTCAAAATAACGTTGGTTATCACAGAAAAGATAGCGAAACATTACACATACAGCAGTTTTTTCATGCTCTCGTATATATAATTACAACGGCAAAGGCGAGTTCTTTCCTAATTTCCAACCCTTCATCCATCACACAATTATTCCATATTGCTCATCATAACAACATCATACAAAAGAAATAACAAAAAAGTACTTTAAAAACATATTTACCGAAAGATCCTCCTATAAAACTGAACATGTACATGGCAGCAAATACCAACACAGGGAATACTCTCCACTGTAGCATTCTGAATTTCAGTTTCTGAAATTTATTTATGAATTAAAACGTAAAAAGAATGAAACCCAATTAAAAATCAAATTCACTATTTTTAAGTAAATATATCAATACAATGGTCAAGCAACAACGCCAGTCTATCATTATAACGGTCTGAGTTAAAGCTTCAGTATTATGTTTGAGTCTGGTTAAAAACACCAGTCCAATTACATTTTTTGATAAAAGAGCAAATACAACTTACCAATTACGCAGTGTCATGTAGAGTAGTCCAAAATAAACTTCTGTCATTTATATACATGTTAAATATATAGTACCAAGGCTCCGGTAGATACATCTATCATTTTGAAAGTCGAATGATTTTTAGTAATTATTGATATCCGGATTTGTGTTGACACATCCTATTTACTGTTTTTGTTGACGCACTGAATTTTATTTCATTTACATTAGGTACATGTAACAAAGAAAATCTGAATTGCACGACATTTGTACACTTTAGTATTTCATATTCAAACTACAAACAATATGCGAAAAATCGATACAAAGATCGATATACACGTACTGTACTTGTGAATTCGAAATTTATCCATTATGTGTTTTCCTGTCTTTCGAACATGCGCAGTACACTATGGTAGCATCGAGTCCTTGCTAACTGCCCGAGAGAGAGAGCCGGGAGTGATAGAACGATATGCTATCATTTGAAATCGATGCAATACTTTTTGCGACGAATTTCCTGAAAATTATTCATGACCAGGGCTGAAACGTTGTGACTTTTTTGGACACCTGTCTCCGATATTATATTCGTTCCGAAAACGTTGCAAATTTGATCGTTTGGCAAACAGCCATTGTAAATCATGAAAATAATCATTGTTGTAATCTTTTAAAATTCTATAACAATAGACACAAAACAATATGTTTAGATAAGAGAACAAACAATTATCTGACGATGTTGAAGATTTGGAAAAGACACATCTTAAGATGTTACAGGCATTCACAATCTTTTTTTGAACAATTTTCCACTCCACATTTTTTATTTCGCTCAACGTAAAGCTGCTCAAGATAACAGCTTGTACATGTGCAAGTTATTAATGAATAAAAGAGACTTACACCGCTATTGGCCTTACGGTCCTTGTTAAATGCAAACCTTAAATATTTTTTATCGAATTTATTTTTCGTTTGATTGGTTCGAAATTATTCCCTTATAAAGCAATACCACTTTATATATTATCTTGTCAAATGTAAATCATAAGATCATGAAAGCTTAAAATATACATCTATGCAACTGTTTTTATTTCTAAAAAGAGGGAACAAATTTCTAACTACCACGTCATGAAGGTCATCTTTAGCCAATACTAAACTATCCATTTTGTGGATATCGTAGATATCGTATTTTGTGATACTCCAAGTTCCACAAAAAAGTTGGATTCGTTTTATATACTTGGATGGCTAAGTTCTACTATAAAAACGTGTAAATAGACTTTCTTTTAAAACATGTGAAAGAAAATCCTTTATTTTATTCAAATCGTCAGTATCATGTTAAAGGGTATAACATTTTATTGACTAAAATTAAGAGATGAAAATATTTACCAAAGTTTCTGAATAATTTATGATATAAGATTTCACTGAATGTAATACAAATCAACTTTATAATTGAAATATTAAAGGGGCATCAGCTGTAACATTCCTGTCTATCGATATGACCAAAACTCTGATATTGAATTTATAGAATACTAAAACGTATATCTAAATTACAAAAAGTCCAAAAGAAAAACAAATAACAAGTCATGGGCTCTCTACAATGTATCAACATTTCTGACGTATTTTAGACCAGACGCCACCTTGCTATCAATCAAGATGACCTGCGAACGGTCATATCACCCGATATAAAGTTTTTATGAATATGAATATAAAATGAAAATAAGTAGCGAGCACGTACGCATGCAATCGGGTTTTTCTAAGTCTGCTTGGTTTCTTGTTGTAGGTTAAAAATAGATGTAAATTATCATTTTACATGTATCAGAATGATTTTTGTAGGCCGGATCAGTCAACAAAATGGTTATGCACGGTGGCTCCCTTATTCCACTTTTCAATGATGACATGTTTTTCTTTTAATGAATAAACCACACAACGAACACATGCGCACCATCTGTACAAAAGGTCAAATAAAAGGTTCCATGAATACGGATTAAAATGAGTTGAATTATTGACTTGCAAGCCAATAATATATCATCGATGTTTTTCAAGCTTATTTTGACAAAATTGAACCAATTTGACTGCATATTGCGGAGTATTATTTCTATAATCCGCTTGATAAAAAGTAAAAAAACAAAAATACCGAACTCCAAGGAAAATTCAAAACTGATAAATGTTTGAAGAACAAAAAATCGTATTATATGTTTAATTCGTATCTAATGTCCCTTTAATGAACTATTAAAAAGTATTTACTTACCTGGAAATAGACAGGCGACTGAAATAATGAAGTTTATTAATTGAAGGTTACTTTGCAAATGACTATAAATGCGACAAAACATACCAAAGTCATGTGACTTTGTTTCCAGGTGAGGTACAATACAGGTTTATTACTATATTTGGCAAAGATCGAAATAGTTAAGACCCCTCAACAGTCCTAAAGCGATTTGAGATCACAAAAATCTGTCGCATGATTTGTACATTGTATAAGCGCTTATTGAAATGACTGAGGATTAATCCTTGTTACGTAAGAAAAGCTTAAGAGCTATTTTCAGCTGTGAATATCTTTTATTTATCAAAAGTATTATTTTAAAACAAATTTCCGTCTTTGTGAAAATGCATTGACATATAATGGTTATTTACAACATAAACAGATTTGTATACAAAAATCTGTACATTTTAATAAAATCGAGATATTTGTTTCTTTCATCAATTTGTTATTAGATTATTAAATTTAGCCTTTGCCCATCAATTCATTTGTAAATTTATAAGTTAGATAAGAAGAAGTGACGCATACAGTTACCCTATAACATTATAACATATATCTCTCCCGATATAATCATTATATATCTGGAGCAATGTTTCCAAATCGTTGATCTGTCGTAGACATATAGGATGACAGCATTTCATCATAATCAGCAATGGATTTGGCTAATTTATAAATGTTTCTTGATACAAGTGTTCATATGACTTGCAAAGCGATTGAAATCTTTAACTGTGGCAGTTCCAAATACAATATTTGAAATAGAACCAATTAAAACTTAAACGTTGAATCTTTGATTCAATATGTAGATTATCTCTTGGAAGTTGGTGAATGGTATCAACAGTTAACATTGGATGATAAATGTCCCCGTACTGCAGATAGTGGGGACATATCATGATTGAGAATATTACAAAGCCATATTGTCTGATCCAATCTCATCATAATGGTCATAATTTCAAAAGTATAGCAAGTCTTGAGCCATTAGAATCTCGAACTTTTATCGACATCATTTTAAGTTTTTCTTCAAAGTTATTAAATGATCAACAGGTACCACCACGTGATGCATCCCACATTAAAGTAATAATACATCATAAGTCATACATTAACTCTAAAATTAATCGTCATAATCAGATTTGGTCGATGCAGTTCATAATTGTAAACAACACTTGTCAGAAAACAATGTTTTTTTTTGTTGAATAAGCTTATATTTCTACTTTTCCTAATTTAGTATTTTCTCCTCATTTGTAAACTTTGATAGTTTATCAATATAATGGCATATTTCAAAACACTTAAGCATCAACTGGTCATTAGGTACCGTTCTGCCACATAGGTACCTTTCAGCCACATAGCTCCCGTCTTCTGATACTTATATATCATCGGTTTTCGAATACTTGGCTTTAAGCGTTCTTGATGAGAAATCCAGAACAGCCTTTGGGACGAACGAAATTTGTTATAAGTTTAATTTCAAGTTTTGTTACCCTCTTATTGAAACAAATACAAGGACTTTATGTGCATCGCAATGAATAAACAATAATATTGAAAAACACGATACCTTTAATTGTACATTATTTTTAATGCCAGTAATCAATTTAATTACATGGTTATGCATAAAGAAATCGCAAGCATGTGTACCAAGCTACACAGACATATTTTACTCAAACTACATTTGAAATAATTAGAGAATTTGTAGCTCTTGTTGAAAATGGTTTATGTGACTATACCTTCTTACTGCCATCTAGATATTTTTATTTCCTAATGTTAACGAGGCTAAAATAAGATGTAGTTTGTAATAGTAAAGACTACTGTATCATACAAAATATGTTGGCCATCTTTTCTTCTATATACAATATTCGTACAGTGTAGGAAAATAAAACATTAATTTGACGAGCTTAAAAAACAAAGAGGAAAGCGAAGATCGCCGAGCTTTTATCCTGTTTCGTAGTGAGTACAAATGAATTTTATATTTTCTACATTATGAATATTGTTTTTATCCTGCAATTCAAAATTTAATTGAAACGTATAGTTTGTATCCATTTTCGAATGAAATCGACATGACTAAAAGGCGGACGACCACGATGAGGACTCCAAATTGAACTGTTATGTCAACAGTTATTTGAAGAAAACAATTCGCTTGATCCATAAGCAAGATACCAGGAGACTATAAACGTACATCATACGTTTATCGCTTCATGTTATTTGTCAATCTGTATTTGTATAATAGAAAGGTCGATTGCATGATACATTCATTTTTTCTATTTTGTTCCAGAATTACATAAAATTCAAAATGTTTGGCTATTCCGTTAGATGCAAAATAGTTAACTGATGTTCAAATCTCATAACTACAACTAAACAATACAAATCGAGATAAAAAAACAAAAACTCAGGAAATCCAATAGGATCGAACCCGGGTGGATCTATCTTGTAGCTAATGAGCATAACTCCCGATACATAAGCTTTAACATTTCACATATGGTATTTGAAAGATTAACTATTGATCTGAGTGTGTCCATAACTTAAATACAGTAACCGGTATATTTTAGTGTCGGTCAAATATTTTTTTGTTCGATTACATTAATCT